TGCAAACACAAGTTACTGCCTTCTACAAAAAGGTCAGAGCACGAGCTCCAGACTCGTAGGTGACCTCAGAACTACTAAAATAGTGTAATTCACTGAACATAGTAGTCTAATTCACTGACCTACTGATGCCATTTTACCAAAGGCGCTTGTCATTTTCTTTGCGCCATTCCAAACCCAGAAACCTTCCTTCAGGCACTCGGAGTCATTAGCTGCTCTTGGGGAGACTGGCAAGAGGCAGAATCACATTGTCCTGGAGAGTGAAAAATGAGATAACTCCTCCATTTCCAGCAGAGGCAGCCCAGCTGGCCAGCCCCACAGTGAGATGCAGGACTGAGATCACACACCCATTTCTCGTCGTGGGCAGCCACTGTCGTGACTCAGATCACATCGTGTTTTTTCTGAAGATATGTCACTCTGCCCTTATGGCATAATTATTAAAAGATACAGAAAACCCATGCAAGGGAACAACAGGTTAGACCAGACACACATTTTGCCCAATACTCCACGTCTGTGCCCATTGGCCAATATTTCAGTAAAAAGCCCAAGAAACAGGGAATATATAAAGCTACATGTTACCCTCAACATCCATTTAGCTTCCAGCCTCCACTACCTTAAGACAGTTCCATGCCTGTTGCTGAATACTTACAGTCTATAGAACAAGTCAATCTTTTTTTTTTTTTCCTCCCACTATGGAACACATTCTCAAAAAAATGTAACTAGAAATAGCATGACATAGCACTTACCTTTCTTTATTTTAAAGCTGGTGCACCCTATTTGCATTTAATACCTCCAAATCTCATCAGACCATGTCACTCACTATGTTACACAGACCTGTGAATATCTTCTACCTCAAACTGGAAAGTAAGTCCATTCAATCCTTCTGAGCTTGGAAATAATATCCATGTTTTTTGTTTCATCTTTATTACCACTATGCTTTCCTAATTCCTCTAAATCTGTTTCAAAGTCAGTTGAAGAGAATTGGACGGGTTATTGAAGATGGAGGTGTTCACACAGTGTCATAACATATTCTTGGGATTTTTGCATTTATCTCCTAATATGTCCACAGTCTTTTAACAGCTGTTGGTTGGTAAGTCCCAGAACAAAGTAATTCCAAGATCTCTCGCCCAATTTGCAAGGCATAACTAAGTCCATCATCAGGTACACACTGTCAGATCAATCTTCTCAACAAACCCTACCTTGTATCTACCAGAACTTAATTTGGCCTGCTATTTTCTTGCCCCATCAGTTACTGCTGAGAGATCCCTCTGACATTCCTCACAGTCAGCTTTCGATCTTACCACCTGGAAAAATGTGTCAGTGCTTTATTACTCATCCTCCTCTCCAGACAGTTTATGAGCACTTGGAACTGCAGAGATCCCAGCTCACTTTCTCCAAAAGGCTCCAGGGGTAACATCCCTGTACTGTACACGTTTTTTTCCATATACTATATATCTTATTTTTCCCATATAGTTTCTAATCTTTACACAGTCACTACTCAATCACTGCAGGACTACACCAATTTAATTTTTCAAAAGTCTTTGAATCACCAAGTGTTTGGTTGTTTTTTGGTGGAATTTTTTTTTTTGGGGGGGGGGGTTTGCTCTGGGTTTTTTATGTGGGGTATTTTGTCAAGAAGAAGAAATCCAGACATACTGCATTAGTTAAATCACCTTTATCAAAGGTTTATCCAGTCATTCCAACAACACAAGCAGATTTACAGGGCAAGAATTCCTGCTGCAGAAGACGACTTGTCTCCTCTCTGTCATCACCTTTATTCCTGTGAATGAAGACTAATTTTGTTCTTTCTTTATAGGTTCTAAGAGGAGCCTGATACACAAATCAGGCTCCTTAGTAGTTCCCAGTTTCCCAAATGCTCCACAGGCCCTTCTTGAAAAGCCCAGCACGTTTTACTGCCTTTCATTCTTGCATTCTAAGGCCAATTTAAGCAATGATTATACACAACCGTGTGTAACTCGGCAACTTCAACACCGAGTTCCTCACAAAGTGAGAACTTTTCCTAGCAGTTCTTTGTGCTGATTAGCTCCAAAACATCAACCTTCTGTCAGTTTTCCCCAGCCTGTCCCCTGGAAATGAAGGCTCCTCATGGGAACTGCTCTGCAGTGAATGGCAATGCAAATAACTTCTCTGCTACAGCCTTACCTTCCCTTAGCTCACATGTAATATTATGAATATCTATCAGCTCATTGGGGTCTCTGACAGGCTTTCTGCTTTTGACAGTCAGACAAAAAGCTTTATTATTTTTTTTAATGCCTTTATAAAGTTGTTCCTCAACATTTTTTTTGGTCTACCTCATTATGGTTTATATTTAACTTGCCAAAGTTAATGCTCTTTCCTATTCTCCTCATTTGGATACAACTCCTGCTTCAGAAAGATGACTTATTTCTAAGAGTCTTGTTTACTTTACTGTTTAAGCAAGTCCTTGTTCATTTTTGTGGTTTTCCTTCCATCTCTTATTTCCCCTCCCTTCTCACACTTAACCATCAAAACTGGACACAGTATTCTAGAAGCCTTGGATTGCAGAGTTCTGTATTTTCATTTTAAGTCAGTGCTTCACACAAAATTTCTCAAGTTATTTGTGTTCACATGAACCCGAAACAGCATTTAAGCTACGATATTTTGTTGAGGTCACGTGAAAATTTCTCTGTGTCTGTTTCAAAGACAGAGTTTTTTTCTATCTTGAAGGTACGATTTGCATTTGTTCCTCGCAGATGTCTTATTTCATATTGGATATATTAACATATATTTTGTTGGATTGTGGCCATTTAAATCAGGCAATCCAGATTGTTCTCTAGAAGTAACCAACCCTTTATGTACTCTCCAATCCAGGATTTTTTTCCAGGTAGGGTTATTTATGAAGGCATCAAGCATTGCTGGAATGAGAATTGATTGACTGAGGATCTCATTAAACAAACAAACAAGCAAACAAACATTTACTCTTTCCTTACCATCAACCACATTTTGAGATTTCTCAGGGCATTGCTCCTTAATTCTTCTAGCACTTGCTTATGCTTGGTGAAGTCTGACCTCACATTTTTTACAGTAAGAAGCACTTACCAAGAAGTTACATCCTCTGAAAAACATTTGTTCTATTTCAACTATTTCCATCATATTTTGCCTATTTATATTTAAAACTGCACTAAAAAGTCAGGAACCTTAAAATGGGAAAACATTTATTCATTTTATTTATGCTTGAAATCGGCCAAACCAACTTTATCCAAATAATAAAAACACCCAACAAAAACACACATTTTACAGCAAAGACCAAGCCTAAAAAATGTCAGCTGCAGAGATGATGGTTTCCTAATGACACAAGCAACCGAAAACAAAAGCCAGAATAAAACAGATCATGCAGCTCAGCTTTTTAAATGAATTGGCAAGCTAATATGGCTTTAAGAGTCTCTAATATATTGAATTATGATACCTGGTTTGGTAATATTAACGTTGCATAGTTCTTTGAGTCCAAAAGAAGTTGCAGAAGAGAAAGAATTGTAAGTGTAGCACGGAATTTTTTGCAGAACTACTGGCCAGCCATCCTTACAGTACTAGGTAAAATAATGAAGTGTCCAACGCTGATTTCAATTAATGGAAAATTCAAAGATGTCACAGGGAAAATGTCAACATTAGCAAGTTTTAGGGTCCATGTTAGAGAAGCAACTGAACATAAATACCCAGTGAGATGCTGTCCTTAGAACTATGAATGTGATTTTTCAATGTATGAACAAGGAAACAACCACTTCCTTCTACTAGAGACAAGTTACTACCTCTTTGCATGGTATTAGTTCAGTGCAGTCAGAGAGGGGGAGAAGAGGATTAAACAGAAATCTGTAAGGAGGTGCTGAGGGAGAGAATAAATAACACTTCAGATTCTAGGAGGTAAAAAACCTTCTTAAAGCCAAAGTCTTTTTAAAATTAAAATAAGATTAATATTCTTGCAATAATGAGTTTATCTCCTTCTATACTACTTACATTTAATATGTACACAAACACAGATTTAAAAGTACTTACCTTCAGCTCTAGTATTTATTTATATTCTAACCAGAGTTCCAAAATTCACGCAGAAGATAATACTGACAATTTTTTGTTTTCCTGATAATTGTTGATGGAGAGCCTTAGTGCTTTGTTTTGTTTTTAAGACCTGATTGCAGTATCTGCTGGTTACAAGGCAACGTCAGTTTTATTTTATTACTTTAAAGAGCTTTCTGATACCATGTTTGCCAACAAAAACAAAGACAGAAGATACCACCAGTTTCAGGCTTGGCTTGAAGGCCACCTCCATATGTGCAAGTCATGGAAATTCCCTACTCAAAAGATATAAAACATGTCTTTTGGAAAAATGCCAGTTATGTTAAAAAGTCCACGACCTCTTTTGCCAAAGAGATCATTGCACCAGAGCATCTTTTTCACATGTATTAGAAGCTTGTGCAAAGGCCAAATAACCATCTGATCAAATTTTCCATTTGATGCACCAAACTGAAATCCTTGAGCCTTCAGAGAATAATGTTCCTGCCAATCTATCTTCTGAACTGTCTTTCAGCAACTCTGCAAACTCCAGGCACCCGGGGGATGCCTCATCTTGCTCTCTCAAGAATAAAAAAAACCCACCAAACAATAGAACACCACACTTCACTACTCCAGACAATTTAATCCCTCACTTCATGACCAAAGCTTCCTCACTGTTGCATCATCAGGTAGTAGCAGAGAGCTTGACCACATATCTGCATCACACACTGACAACATAATTTGTTTTGTTGCTCATCACCCAGAGCTCTACTCCTTGAGCAAACTGCCAGTCAGACTGAAGTCAATTAAACCATTACCACTCAAACTGCCCAGAATTTCAACACAGGTCTCCCCTTGAACCAATCGAGGAACTGAATAATGACAGTTTTGAAGACAAACTCTGCAGATGACCCACCTTGAAGCACGAAAAGTCATCAGGGGAAGAGGGGGAAAAAAAAAAACCCACAGTATTTACTCACTTTGGGAAGATGACAGTCATGAGCGCTGATGCATAGCCTGGCTTGCACACTCCCTCAGAGAAATTTGCATACTTCGATGCCAATTCTGGAGGCCTGTGGAAAAACAAGTAGGGAATTAGGACTCTCCTGGCTACGAAATGGCTTTTGCAATCATCCAAGTTATTTTTCTCCTTATAGCGTTGCTGAAAAACAGCTGCAGGGAGTAATAGCAAACACAGCCAATATTTATTTGTTGCACTGCAGCATCACAGGAGAACAACAAACAAAGGAGAGGAGGGGTAAAGATATCTGAAATACCACTAAATCACCAGTTTTGCTGAAAGATTTTGATACCTGGCAAGGTAAAGTTAATGGAAGAAAAATACCGATATATCATTCTAGACTTCAACCTTTAGAAAGGAAAAAAATAACATAAATGGCACTTTGCTTTAGCTATTTTTCTAAGTTATGATCAAAGTTAAAATTATAGAAAAGTATTATTTAGAAAACTACTTAGAAGATACCTTTCAAGCATTTGAAGCAAAACTCCAAACAGTACTGACAGGCTATCATCAAGGGATGAGTGCTTTCAGTATTTGGAAGAGATGACATTGCTCCTGCTTTGTTGTGTCTTAATTCAGCTTGACTAGTGATTTTGGGGCCAAATTTAGAATCCCGTGGGGTTTTTTCACTCAGTTTTTGTACAGAAACAAGATTAGCAACTCAATAATAGATATTTCAGTCCAGCACATGCTTTTACCATAGAACCACTGAGTGATCTGGAAAAAACGTTTAATTTTATTTTTGTCCCTATTCACCACCTGCAACATTTTTACATTCACCTCTTTCGTGAAAACATTACAAGGGTTAATTTACTTGTGTTTTCCAAGTAACATTAGAGGCCTTAATGTCAGCCACAGTATGAGAACTGTTAATATTCCCTCAAAGAAGAAAAAAATAGCACCTACAGTTCCATGCTTGACATTCAGTGGAAGCTGCAAGTGTTAACTACTGCAAAGACTTGATCAATAATACTGTATTTGCTACCCCATTCTGTCAGCAGTAGGCAAGTAATGAAAGGTGTTTTTTTTTCCTACAGGTCAACAGTAGGAGTCAAATGAAGATGACAGTACAGATGTGCAGAGCAGATCTACAAAAATCAATTCTGAAGAGCCCACTGTTACCACAACCCTGTTCTTTTCCAGGCATCATCAATACCACTTATTGAGCATGGATTCAGAGAGTTTCAAAGTTCCATATTGGAATGACAGTAACTCCACGCTGAACTGGTAGCAACTCTTTTTCTTGTACTGGTCCCGCATCACCTCCCAGGAGGTCAGTAGCCAGTTCCAACTGGATGAACAACAGATGGACAGTTAATTTTACAACTAGCTGCAGACAGTACAAAACCTCCTACAGTTTTTAAACTAGAGGAGAATTCTCTATATATACAGAACCCCTTCACTACTTTATATATATATATCTACAGAGCCTCTATAGTTCTTAAAGAACAGGATCTATTTCAGCTGAATAAAAATCTAAACCTTTAACATCTGGAAGGAAAATAAACTAGAGAAAATAAAGTCACTGTAAGTATTTCATTTCTTCAGATTTTTCAGACAAAAAGCACCAGAAAAAGCTCAGGAACACGGATCCAATTCTAATTCTGCCACAGATATGCTGCATAGTTACAATCCAAACATGTAATATTTTACTATCAAAATTCCTCATTTATAGGATGACAGAACAATACATTTGGCCATTTATACTGTCAATTATTTACAACAAAGTTTAGATATCTCTAAATATATTACATAGACATGGAGAGAGAGATACAGGTGTAACGTTATCTAGCACAACCCAAATCCATGAGTTTGTGTTTCATAGGTGATATTCTATTACATTTAGGTAACATTATAATATATTTCTCTAAATGAGAGATGAGAAAGCATCTGAAATGTGAGCATCTAGAACTCCGAATCCCGAAGACTGGCACTTGAATGATTTGTGTTCTGACACCAGTCAGGATCTTTTCAGGAAAAGGCACATCAAGGAAAGGCCTGTTGCTGACAAAACCAAGGGGGTTAGTGGTGGTAAAATATATCCCCTTCTGACACAGTCAAAAGGGACAGCAGGATGGATGGATCACAGCTTGTTGCAGCACTTCAGATATGAACAAATGTGGGAAATCTTTATCGAGCAAACCTAAGTGTTGCTGGAATTTTATTGTTTAGGCAACATACAGAAACGCCTAACACCATAACCTTCAAAAACAAGGAGAAAGCAACTGGGATTTATCTGTGGCCACCACGGTAGTGAGTCATTGCTGGCAAACTTGTGTAACTATTTCAACAGCAGGCCTGTCTCAAATGACCTCAGTGGCCACACAAAATATCTTGTGCCACAAACACAGGCATTTTTCCTCCTTTCTGATTTAATGGCGCTTTCATTATCAAATTAAAATGTCACTCAGATGCCCATCATGGTGTTGCTGCAAAGGAATGGCAGGCTGGAACCCCCCTGCATGTGAGGCGCCCGGAATGCCAACCAGCGCATACTGATGGGGGAGCTGTCAGTGCAAACCCCACAAAGACACTCAGAGCTGCTAAAGCCCCAGGGCCGAGCTGTTAACATTTCTTGGATGTGAGGAAGTTCATGATCCAAAGCGCCGGAGGCAGAACAGTTCTCTAAGCCAACTGGAGCTGCCACCTCTTATCATTCAATGTTTGCTCATCTCCTTTCCCGTAGCTGCATTTTGATTCAGCAGGCTACAGAAAACCAGAAAGGGGCACTCTGCATTTTAAATCCATCTGGGGGACACACTTTATTTGTTCAATTTCTCTGAAATACACACTGCACACTGTCATTGCCAGTGTGACCATAATGCTAAATCCCTATTAGGTGTAGCTCAGAGCAAATTTAGAGTAAGGCTGGATACAGCTTTGCTGTTTACCATTCTGCTGCCACGTGAAGCTATCCAAGCTAACATCATTTTAGATACACACATGTGCTTTGTGGGTATTTTTTCTGCAAGATTCACAGATCTTGTAGAGTTTACTCTTCCATACATGAGGATGTGAAACATCCTGCATGAAGCATCCCGTGGAGAACTGCACGTTTCAAACAAATCCAGCTTTGTAAAATCACACTGTGTAAGTAGGTACGTGGTCCTGAAATAAAAGAAGTGTACAGAACTGAGTGTACAAATAAGCATCACTTCTGCATGGGATGATGATGTACCTACTCCTCTGCCACATCTATTGCTGCCTCTTTGATGATGTTCCTTATTCCCAAAAGGGAGATGAACAGTAACTGAAAGCACATCCTGCAAAGGGCACCTGCCACGGTGCACAGGCCTCAGAAGAGTTTGCATTTGATTCTTGTTCTTATGCTGCTTACAGCACATGGGTCAAGAACTATGCACCAAAGCAAACAACATTATTTTTTTAGTGCTTCAGAAGCCAGTAAATAGGTTCATCTCAGTCGCCCCCTTACTGTGCTTGGACTCCAAAATGATCCCAAACACACAAGGCTTTCATGCTAAGCCAGCCAGGACTATCATGGTTGGTATGGCAGAAGGGTGTAAATCTCCCTCTGCATCTCCCAGTCCAGGCACATCATTCCAAGCCTTGATTCGCATGCTGGGCTGAGGCAGTTAAAGAGCTAGTGGAGACAGCAGAAAGAATGTGATCAGATGACACTGTGGAGCCTTTAAATTTTGCTCAGATCTTGTGGAGGAAAAACCCAGTAAGATAAGAAATGTATCCAGAATAAATGAGAAAAACAAATCATAGTCAGTAACTGTAAACATCTGCAGCCTTTAAACAAGCGCCTGCATAAGGGTGAAGTTAAAGGGAAGTAATTGGCTTATTCCACTACAGAGAAAATGCACTCTCGCTTTATTTTCTGACTTTTCTCCTATGAGACCAGCACACATCCTGAATTCTTAAGATTTTCTGTCCTCCTCTAAACTGTGATGTGGACATCAATCTTAACAAAATTTCACAATTTGGATAAGCTGAAAATCCAGCTGCTTTCAGAGGATTTAGAAAAAGTAACAAGATTTTTCCTTCTGCTCGCATTTGGCAGACGTGTGTCTTCTTTTAATCTCAAATACGAAAACGTCACCGTGGTTAATTCCTTCATCATGTCTTGGTCAGGGACAGCATGTCATCCTCATAAGACTGGAATCTAAATCCATTTGAAGAAAGAAATTAGTAATACAACCCAGTGTTTAGACTATTAAAAAAAAAATGGCCGCAACTAAGCTCGTGTAATTGAATATTACAAAATCTGCTTTAAGAGACAGATTTTGCTGCTTTGCCTTTCACAGGGAACCTAAACTGGGGATTGTAAAAAACTGCAAAACTTCACCTACTTGAGACCATCTTGTCTGAGGACTGATGTCTCTTGCTGTGACTCTTGCACACAAAACACGTGCACTTAAACAAGGAAAAGGAGTTCTTTGACAACGTGCTCACTGGGCTGTGATCCTTCACCTTGGGGTTTCTTTCTCTTTGGGTCAAAATAAACTGAGACTTATGCCTACAGAGCAACTCTACGAATTGTATGCCATGGTACGTGAGGAATAAATAGGAGATATGATGAGAACATGCAATGAAAGGGATGCAAAACATCTTGAGGTACCATGGAGCAATAATGAAATAATATTATCAAGTAATTTGTCAGATCACTAAATGAAAGCAGTTGATGCTGAGACCCCGTACCTTCACCGTGTGACATTCAGGGCATTTTATTTTAGGCAGGGCTCCCTGGGTCAGATGCATCCACCACATACACTCATGGCTCAGTGTTGGCCAAAAGGTAACTTTGAAGACTTCTGGAATAAAACTCTCAGTTCAGTTTCACCCAGATAAGCCCAAGGCTACATATCAATCAGCATATGATAAGCAACAGTTATGGGATCTGCATCAAAATTGCAGGACTGCTCCAAAAAAGACACCAGTGAAGACACAACCAGAATGGCTGTGGTGTGCATTTGTTTATATTTCTGAATAGAAATTGTTTTATACCTCACTTATAGCCTCATAAATAGACAGCTTCCAGTCCCCGATACTCTTTTCCATAATACTGTGTATGTTTGTAAAGCAACA